GGGGGAGCCCCAGCCATTGAAACATCTGTAGGGGGCTGGTCTGGAAAAATGCTTTATGGACCAGCTATTTGCCCTCCCGCTGCCTAGGATTGACAGCCCTGTGCCCTGCAAAACCGCTCCCTGCCTGCTTTCCGTCTCACTGGGGAGGGGGAAAACGACCTTGGAACAACAGCGGCTTTCAACCGAGAGACGTAGGAATGTACCAATTGCCGTATTGGCTCACAGCCACGCCAAAGATCCTTCTAGTCTCTAATGACTTATCGCTGCCAGTGGCTGGTTTTAGAGGAAGGACTAAGAACCCTGTTGCAGCTAGATGTGATCCCTGAGGCTTAACATACTTTTCAGAATGGTTGTTTAATAATAGGATTCTGGGTATTCTTGAGATCCATATAAATACCCGGTCTCGTTTTGGTGCTTCTATAAAATACAGCCAGCTCTTCTGCATTCCTTTCCCCCTCAGAGGAGCTTTCCAGTGGATCCTCCCCACCAGTTTCCTGAGAGAGTCAAAGTCTGCTTTCCTGAAGTCCAGTGCCCATATTCTGCTGCTCTTTATTTCTTTCTTTTATCAGGATCCTGAACTTAACTATCTCAGGGTCACTGCTGCCCAGGTTACCACCTGCTTCTACTTCCCCTATCAGTTTTTCTCTGTTTGTGAGCAGCAGGTTAAGAGGAGCATGAGCTCTAGTTGGTTCCTCTAGTATTTGACTAGGAGGTTGTCCCCCAACATTTTCAAAAAACTTCCTGAATTGTCTATGCACTGCTGTATTGCTCTCCTGGTAGATGTTAGGGTCATTGGATTCCCCCATGAGAACTAGTGATCTGGACACTTCTATTATTTGTCCAAAGAAAGCCTTGCCTCATCTTCCTGGTCTGGTGGTCTACCACAGCAGTGTGCAACCCATCTTCCTGGCAGGGTGGGTCGCAGTGCTGGGCTGGCCGCCATTTTTTTTTGCCAGCTCGGTGCCTGACGTACATGCGGCGGGGGCAGGAAGAAAGGCAGGGGAGCGAATAGGCGCTTTAAATTAAAGGAGCTACAACAAAATGTTCCAGGTGCCTTTTTTTTTTTCCTCAACAAAAATTTTTTCTGGCCTATTGGTCTACCACAACATCACTGTTGTTGCTCTTGTCTCTAATCTTAACCCATAGACTCTCAATGGGTTTTTCTCCAGTTTCATCATAATGCTCTCTCACATACAGTGCAACTTCTCCACCTTTTCTCCTCTGCCTATCATTTCTGAACAGTTTATACCCATTCATGACAGTAATCTATCCTGTTTCCCTATCTGTAAAGGGGATAATGATACTTGTGGTCTTTGTGTAACGTGCTTTCAGTTTTACTGATGCAAAGTGCTGTATGCAAGCTAGGTATTACTAATAAACTTGTGTTGTGTTTCATGTATCTTCTCAATTGCATGTTTGTAGGTCAGAAGGTAGAAATCCATTGATGCTACTCTTTTATACAGAGAGCTCAGGGAAGAATTGAATATGGCCCCAAAAGAGCTGCGAAGACCAATGACTTCCTCTTTGCATGGGGCCATCTTAATAGAAGCTGCATGTAGCAGCTCTTTTCATTGACGATAATGCACCGTTTGCTTTGAAAGTATTTAATGAAGATGCAAGAATGAGACTGGTTATACTGCAATGCAACCATTCATTTTTTTCATTTATTATTAATTAATATACAGGCAGTCCCCGGGTTACGTACAAGATAGGGACTGTAGGTTTGTTCTTAAGTTGAATCTGTATGTAAGAACTGGCGTCCAGATTCAGCCTGTTGAAACTGATCAGCGGCTGATTCCAGGAAGCCCGGAGCAGAGCAACTCTGCCTCGGGCTTCCTGTAGTCAGCACTGGTCAGTTTCAGCAGCGGCTGACTTGGGGACGCCTGGGGCAGAGCAGCTAGGGTGCTGCTGGGTTGGTCCAGTAGCACCGAGGAGCGGCGCAACTGGAGCAACCCAGCAGCACCCAAGCTGCTCTGCCCCGGGCGTCCCCAAGTCAGCCGCTGCTGAAACTGACCAGTGCTGACTACAGGAAGCCCGAGGCAGAGTTGCTCTACCCCGGGCTTCCTGGAATCAGCCGCTGATCAGTTTCAACAGGCTGAATCTGGACGCCAGTTCTTACATACAGATTCAACTTAAGAACCGCAGGCATCCCCAAGTCAGCTGCTGCTGAAACTGACCAGTGCTGACTACAGGAAGCCCGAGGCAGAGTTGCTCTACCCCGGGCTTCCTGGAATCAGCCGCTGATCAGTTTCAACAGGCTGAATCTGGACGCCAGTTCTTACATACAGATTCAACTTAAGAACCGCAGGCATCCCCAAGTCAGCTGCTGCTGAAACTGACCAGTGCTGACTACAGGAAGCCCGAGGCAGAGTTGCTCTACCCCGGGCTTCCTGGAATCAGCCGCTGATCAGTTTCAACAGGCTGAATCTGGACGCCAGTTCTTACATACAGATTCAACTTAAGAACAAACCTACAGTCCCTATCTTGTACGTAACCCGGGGACTGCCTGTATAGGATTAGCCTCTTTGTTTTCTTGATGGGAACTTCCTAGAGGCAGATTTGACATTGAGTGCCAAAATATCACAGGATTCCTTTCTCACTTGGTCAGACTTAATTTCTCTTTTAATTTGCAGTGACTTTTTTTCCTCCCCTTAGAAGA